ACCCGCCCCTATGGGTTTAGCATCGTAACCGGCCAATAATCCTAGGATTACCGAAGGTCTCTGAACAGATTAACATAATTAAGGGGCTAACGGAAGCAAATACATATAATATAATTGTCCAATGAGCCATACTGACTTATACGAAACAGAAAACATAAAAGTTTATATGAGTATCCAAAAGTCAGTCTTGCATTATACCCACACACATAATAGCATCTTAAGTACAGCCAACAAAAACAAAGTCTGATATACATAAGCAACTAGAACTCATAACATGTGACACTTTCGGAACCTCTACGTGAGGAACAAAGGTTGGCTAACAACAGAACACAGATCTAGACAAAAGTCTTCGGGCCTGATCTCCAGAACGCTCACCTATACATATATATATACACACAATGAGCTATAGCCCAGTGAATAACATTAAGGTAAAGGGGTTAGTGAATGAAATCTGAATATTTCGCAATCATAAAACAGATCGTAACATAATCATTCTCATATCTAAACATAATAATGATACATCCCATAGAACACATCACATATCGTCTTCCGACTAGAGTAATCGGTTCTGGATACCGATTAAACATATATCACCACAATGAAGTGGCTAACGAGATCTCGTAATCACATATATGTCATGGACCCGCATTAACATGTCGTCCTTTATGACTTGAGACTATCTATGGGTGTCATAATAGATTTCAAACATAGGACATTCATTCACGTAAATGATATCATTTCAGAAAACATAACTTATCATATCTCATTTGGAACATAATTCATACGAATATATCTTTACAATAACGTTACTCACAGGGGTTCTCGTAAACGGTCAATTAATCTTCGAGTCTTGACCTACAACCACAAAGTACATAACACAAACATATCGTATCATTACATATGTACTTGGCCATCACAGCTTAGTTCTCATTACATAGGTTTCTTGCTTAACGCATTGTTCAAAACACACTCTTATAATCTCTTAACTTAGTACATTCCTTTCTTAGTGTGTTTCTATTCCATAACTTCGTTACTATGGCTTAAGTAAGGCTATGGCTTAATTAAGGCTTAGGAATGCCTAAGATGCAATGAGGATGCCAAAATATGAGGTGAAACACTTGGTAAAATTTCTAAAAACAAGGTCCCCGCTCAAGCGTAGCTTTCCTCGCTCGAGTGGACATGCAAACATGTGAGGGGTTACTCGAGCGTGACTTCCTTTGTTCGGGTGGTCTGCAAACTTGAAAAAAGTACTGGTTGGTCTCAATCTACGCTTAAGCCACAACTCTCACGCTCGAGCGGTTCAACAAAATACAAAGGGTTCGCTCAAGCATGACCTTGGTCGCTCGAGCAGAGCGCCTATGTCTGCAAAAATGCTGAGAGCTCACATTCTCCGCTCAAGCGCAGGTTTCCTCGCTCGAGCGGACTGCGAAATTCTGGGTTTTCAAAAACAGAGTTTTGAGCTTCCAAATGCAAATTTAAAGGAAAACTCGTGCATGGCTTTTTCAAAACACTTGGAAAACTTTTCTAAAACATAAATATATGATCATTTACAAACCCTTAGCTCAAAACTCATGGATTTAGCTAAAATTGAGTTCAAACTTCCATGTATATAAGGTTTATAAACTCTTTTTCTCCAACACCATGGTTTTAACAAAATTGAGCTCAAAGGCTCCATACATGAGGGAAATCCTTTTCAAAACATGAATTTAAACTTTAAAACATGATGAATTATACATACATGTGCCAAATAACTTATGATAACAACTTAGATGCTCAAAATCAAACTCAATATGACAAAACTCTATATATATACGCATGCATGTGAAATTATAATCAAATTCTCCATATTCTTGACAAACTTATGTAAAATACATGTAAATGATCATAATAACTCCATGAATTCATCACTACAATACATAATCTCCATGAATTATTAGTCAAAGGCTTACCTAGAGTCTTGAATAAGCCAAATTCTTGCAAATCTTAAAGCTTCTCTTCTTAATCTTCAAGAATCAAACTTTAATCTATCAAGTTCTTTAGCTTTCTCTCACTAAAGTGAACTCGCTCTCTCTCTAAAAGGTCTCACCAGATTTTTCCACTCAAAGAATGAAGGGTCTTGAGCTCAAAATGAGCTTATAACTCACATATATATAGTTGTGATGATATGATACATTAATGAGAACATTAGGTTAGCCAAACATAACTTAATTTACCAAATTGAATCCATTTTTAATAAAAATTGCCATATCATTCTAAAAATTCTGAATAACATATTAGTGTAACCAATTTCAGTTTCGGATATCGATAAGGCTTCTAATCCTTATATCAAAGCAGATTTCACAACAGATATTACTACGACTAACAGATAGAAAGCCCAATAACATATAAAATACATGATAAACACATAATTTATTTTAATCCCTTCATTAGCATCGATTAGTAGCTAATTGCGGATCAGGGTTGTTACAGTCTCCCCAGCTTAAGAAGTTTGGTCCTCCAAACTTGAGTTACCATGTATAACAGATCAGACGTCTTAGACTCACATTGGTTTCCATGTTCATAAGTGGTTTCCTCCCCATTCAACTTGTTATAGAGACTTGATTCATTTCCGAGCCATTCAACAATTCATTGTTCGATTCGGTACTCAATTCAGTAATCAATCATAGTTATTCCAAGTCGTTTAGAAGTTGTCCAGTGTACCAGGCAAATCCATATATCAATCCCATAGTGGTAAATGAAATTTTGAGGTAATCATTCACGTACTGTTCATCAACCTCGGTTTTCACAGATTCGATTGTATCACATGCTAATACGGAAGTAGTCAATCATAGAACATACTGATTTCATGTATTTCCAAATAGTCAGGGTCTACAGTCAAACTGGTCTGCTGTCAACAAGTCTCATAGCATCAAATTCCAATCGTAGCATCAAATTCCAAATATAGTAATACAAAAGCAACCATTCTTTTATTCAAACAAGTTCATGGTAGGAATGGTACACTGAAGCTATTAGTCATGTGTCTTACATACAGATATTCTTATATTCCCAGAGCATAAATTATAAAACCCTATAATCCCATTCACATGTGTTCCCAATCAATTATAGGCATATGGTTAAAAGCTGTTTATATTCATATAGTCTGCTATTGATAGTTCACATTCTTCATAAGTGTTCAAAATTGATTCAAGTTCTTAGTCGATTAGTTCCCGTAGCAACACAATCCGGTCATTCGGTCATAAGCAATTCCTAAGCCCCCATAACGTAATCAAATCAGATAATAGTTCTCAATTTAGGTAAAGGTCTCCTCAGATCAAATCAAATAAAAGTTCTATCAGGTCACATCAGATGGAATGTTCTATTCGGTCAAATCAAACAAAAGTTCAGAGCGTATGTCATTAAACACAAGTTCTATCAGATCGGATCAGATAAAAGTTCTATACCCCATTCGCTTAGGTACATAGTCACTAGTTCCATAATTGTTCTAAGTTCATCAGTTCTCAAAATCACATCAGGGTCATGTATCATAATAGTTCATATCGAGGTGTTTCAGGTCATATACAATGTGGCATTCTCCAAATAAGTTTACATGTAGGTGCACAGGTATGTAATTGTTCATATCAAGAGGTAAGCATCATGGTCAATATAGCAGTTTCCCAAATAAGCCTATCATGTAGTCATACGGTACACAGTAATGTATTACATAAGGTTCCTTGGTGACATAGAATAGTGAGTTGTTATGCAAAAGTTCCAAATCTGTCATGCAGTCATTAAAGCATAGGTTTACTATCTAGGGTATTCACATAAGGTACACAATCACAGAGTCATAGTCTCAATGGTCTAGTTAATAAGCCAAATAACATAACAAATCATTTGTTCGCGAATAATTCGCGAATAATCTGTAATTCCACGTAAACAGATTCAAATCAACTACAAGTTTTCCAGTTTCCCAAATCAGATACACGTTAATCATTCATCAAATCCGGCATAGATCCATTAGTTTGCACAGTGATTCTGAAATCATAGCATGACGGTTCATATCGTTTTGATCGTGGTAGTTCAAAAGTCAAAGTTCAAATATATATACACAACAGTTCCATATCATAATCAGGCACAATACGCCCCCGTTTTCTATTGCCCTGGCATAGTTCAAGAGGTCATACACAACGGTTCATAGTAAATTATCCCAAATTCAGTATAAAGGATTTACCTAGCAAACCCCCAAAGTTTCGTAAGTTCAACATTTTTCCATAGCATAGGTAATTGTCAAACATAAAGGTTCAAAGTATCACACATATAGTTCACATCAGGCAGTAGGTCTCAAAGTGTTCATTAACCACAGTTCAACCCCATCAATTCTAATAGAATTACAAGCGAGGACATATATATACAGGTACGAGTCTAGAATCAATTATCATTTAGGCATTCGTTCGTAAACCCATAAGTAAAGGTTCATTCTTCCAAAACTGACATAGGTTCTCAATTTCAGAAGTTCCACACACGAATGATTCATGTACACAGTTCGAGTTCATGGGTCTAATCATTCAATGATTTCAGTCAATATATAACAATTCAGTTCAGGTCATGGTCATACGGATTCCCAAATCAATTTTCATACATACATTTTACACGTAATTAAGGTAATACCTGCGGCAGTTGTTTCAGTATTCCGAGCATCTCCTGAAACTAGGGTGTAAACCCTTCCTTGCCTCTAGGTACAGGAACAGAATCAGTCGTACTAGCATTAGGCCTATTGTTGTTCGGTTGAGCTCGTGAGCAAGATTTAGCCAAGTGTCCTTTCTGTCCACATCTAAAACAAGCTCCTGACAAGCAGCGACAAATGCCCCAATGTTGTTTCCCACATTCTTTACAAATAGGTATATCATTGTTCACATTGCTTCCCCGACTTACATTGTCAAAAGTTATTGCCTTAGATTTTTCATTCACAGAGGTCATCGAGTTACTGGTCATTTCAACTTTCTGTTTCTTTTGTTTCTTTCCCTCTAATTCAGTTGATGATGTTGATTTGATATTTTCAACGCTGTTATGTTTGCCTTGGACATTAAGACCCTGTCAAGAATGTCCACATACTTTGACAACTTTGAAATGCCCACTTCGTCATACACATCTAGGTCAAGCCCGCCTTCAAATTTTCTACCTTTTTTGTAGTCTATATCTATCATGTGGGGTGCATATTGAGCTAGTTCAGTAAATTTTGCCTTGTATTCAGCCACTATCATGTCGCATTGTTTTAGTTATACAAATTCAGATACTTTCCTATCTCGGATACATTGGGGAAAATATTTTTCAAAGAAAATTTCTTCAAATCTATCCCATGTTATACCTTCATTATCATTATGTACTAACATCCACCATCTCCTAGCTTCTTCTTTGAGTGTGAATGTTGCTAACAAAACTTTCTGTGCCTCAGTACACGGAAATACTTCAAATATGTTCTCAGTTTCTAAAACCCAAGCCTCAACTTTTAACGGTTCAATACCCTCCATAAATTCTAGAGGCTTCATTTTATTGTATTTCTGTGTCAGTGTTATCATATCAGAATTAGTTAGTTCAGGTACGTGTATTTGCCTTTGTTGTTGTTGTCTCAAAGGTTCGGTTAAGGCTTTGACCATTCTTTCTAACCGGCTAATTCTAGCATCAGAAGATTCAGATTCGTCTACATTTCTCATTTCTTCCATATATACATAACCAGGGTGATTATCAATATAGGAAAAGTTCTCACTGATTTCATGTTTCATTTCGTATCAAACATGTTCGTTATTTTACCTCAATTCAAATATATTCACATAAGTTACGTAGTCTTTCACGTTCATATGGTCATGTTCACAAGAATTACACATTCAATATTGAAATCGACATTACATGTTATTCCACATAACTTCTTTGTTCATGCTTGAAGTTTTCATTCTCTTATCAAACATTTACAGAAAATTTACACATACTCTTACACGATAATACAATGTCCTAATTTCTTTTCTAGGACATCCTATAGCTCATATGGACACGTGTGCACGGTATAACTCGTGCTCTTATACCACTCTGTCACGACCCAAACCCGCCCCTATGGGTTTAGCATCATAACCGACCAGTAATCCTTGGATTACCGAAGGCCTTTGAATAGATTAACAAAATTAAGGGACTAGCGGAAGCAAATACATATAATATAATTGTTCAATGAGCCGTGCTGACTTATATGAAACAGAAAACATAAAAGTTTATATAAGTATCCAAAAGTCAGTCTTGCATATACCCACACACATAATAGCATCTTAAGTACAGCCAACAAAAACAAAGTCTGATATACATAAGCAACTAGAACTCATAACATGTGACACTTCCGGAACCTCCACGTGAGGTACAAAGGTTGGCTGACAACAGAACACAGATCCAAACAAAAGTCTTCAGGCCTGATCTCCAGAACGCTTACCTATACATATATATACACATAGTGAGCTATAGCCCAGTGAATAACATTAAGGTAAAGGGGTTAGTGAACGAAATCTGAATATTTCGTAATCATAAAACAGATCGTAACATAATCATTCACATATCTGAACATAATAATGATACATCCTATAGAACACATCACATATTGTCTTCCGACTAGAGTAATCGGTTCCGGATACCGATTAAATATATATCACCACAATGAAGTGGCTAACGAGATCTCGTAACCACATATATGTCATGGACCCGCATTAACATGTCGTCCCCCATGACTTAGGACTATCTATGGGTGTCATAATAGATTTCAAACATAGGACATTCGTTTACGTAAACGATATCATTTCAGAAATCATAATTTATCATATCTCATTTGGAACATAATTCATACGAATATATCTTTACAATAACGTTACTCACAGGGGTTCTCGTAAACGGTCAATCAATCTTCGAGTCTTGACCTACAACCACAAAGTACATAACACAAACATATCGTATCATTACACATGTACTTGGCCATCACAGCTTAGTTCTCATTACATAGGTTTCTTGCTTAACGCATTGTTCAAAACACACTCTTATAATCTCTTAACTTAGTACATTCCTTTCTTAGTGTGTTTCTATTCCATAACTTCATTACTATGGCTTAATTAAGGCTTAGAAATGCCTAGGATGCAATAAGGATGCCAAAACGTGAATTGAAACACTTCGTCAAATTTCTGAAAACAAGGTCCCCGCTCGAGCGTAGCTTTCCTCGCTCGAGCAGACACGCAAAATGTGAGTGATCGCTCGAGCGCGGCTTCCTTCACTCGAGCAATCTGCAAAGGTATGAAACTTTTGGGAGCTTTCATTTCACGCTCGAGAGGACTTCTGGTCCCTCGAGCAGAAGATTGGTCGCTCGAGCGTAAACTCCTGCGCTCGAGCATAGATGCAAATTCTAGAATTTCCAGATTTGATCACCAAGCTCAAAACTCGAATTCAACTCTTCAAAACACATCTCTTGGGCTCGGTTAAGGCTTTGACCATTCTTTCTAACCGGCTAATTCTAGCATCAGAAGATTCAGATTCGTCTACATTTCTCATTTCTTCCATATATACATAACCAGGGTGATTATCAATATAGGAAAAGTTCTCACTGATTTCATGTTTCATTTCGTATCAAACATGTTCGTTATTTTACCTCAATTCAAATATATTCACATAAGTTACGTAGTCTTTCACGTTCATATGGTCATGTTCACAAGAATTACACATTCAATATTGAAATCAACATTACATGTTATTCCACATAACTTCTTTGTTCATGCTTGAAGTTTTCATTCTCTTATCAAACATGTACAGAAAATTTACACATACTCTTACATGATAATACAATGTCCCAATTTCTTTTCTAGGACATCCTATAGCTCATATGGACACATGTACACGGTATAACTCATGCTCTTATACCACTCTGTCACGACCCAAACCCGCCCCTATGGATTTAGCATCATAACCGGCCAGTAATCCTTGGATTACCGAAGGCCTCTGAACAGATTAACATAATTAAGGGGCTAGCGGAAGCAAATACATATAATATAATTATCCAATGAGCCGTGCTGACTTATATGAAACAGAAAACATAAAAAGTATCCAAAAGTCAGTCTTGCATTATACCCACACACATAATAGCATCTTAAGTACAGCCAACAAAAACAAAGTCTGATATACATAAGCAACTAGAACTCATAACATGTGACACTTTCGGAACCTCTACGTGAGGAACAAAGGTTGGCTAACAACAGAACACAGATCTAGACAAAAGTCTTTAGGCCTGATCTCCAGAACGCTCACCTATACATATATATACACATAGTGAGCTATAGCCCAGTGAATAACATTAAGGTAAAGGGGTTAGTGAACAAAATCTGAATATTTCCTAATCATAAAACAGATCGTAACATAATCATTATCATATCTAAACATAATAATGATACATCCTATAGAACACATCACATATTGTCTTCCGACTAGAGTAATCGGTTCTGGATACCGATTAAACATATATCACCACAATGAAGTGGCTAACGAGATCTCGTAATCACATATATGTCATGGACCCGCATTAACATGTCCTCATTTATGACTTGAGACTATCTATGGGTGTCATAATAGATTTCAAACATAGGACATTCATTCACGTAAACGATATCATTTCAGAAAACATAACTTATCATATCTCATTTGGAACATAATTCATACGAATATATCTTTACAATAACGTTACTCACAGGGGTTCTCGTAAACGGTCAATTAATCTTCGAGTCTTGACCTACAACCACAAAGTACATAACACAAACATATCGTATCATTACACATGTACTTGGCCATCACGGCTTAGTTCTCATTACATAGGTTTCTTGCTTAACGCATTGTTCAAAACACACTCTTGTAATCTCTTAACTTAGTACATTCCTTTCTTAGTGTGTTTCTATTCCATAACTTCGTTACTATGGCTTAATTAAGACTTAGGAATGCCTAAGATGCAATGAGGATGCCATAATATAAGGTGAAACACTTGGTAAAATTGCTAAAGACAAGGTCCTCACTCGAGCGTAGCTTTCCTCGCTCGACTGGACATGCAAACATGTGAGGGGTTGCTCGAGTGTGACTTCCTTCGCTCGAGCGGTCTGCAAACTTGGAAAAAGTACTGGTTGGTCTCAATCTACGCTCGAGCCACAACTTCCACGCTCGAACGGTTCAACAAATACAAACGATTCGCTCGAGCGTAACCTTGGTCGTTCAAGTGGAGTGCTCATGTCTGCAAAAATGCTAAGAGCTCGCATTCTTCGATCGAGCGTAGGTTTCCTCGCTCGAGCGGACTATGAAATTCTGAGTTTTCAAAAGCAGAGTTTTGAGCTTCCAAATGCAAAATTAAAGGCAAACCCGTGCATGGCTTCTTCAAAACACTTGGAAAACTTTTTTAAAACACAAATATATGATCAATTACAAACCCTTAGCTCAAAACTCATGGATTTAGCTAAAATTGAGTTCAAACTTCCATGTATATAACATTTATAAACTCTTTTTCTCCAACACCATGGTTTTAACAAAATTGAGCTCAAAGGCTCCATACATGAGGGAAATCATTTTCAAAACATGAATTTAAACTTTAAAACATGATGAATTATACATGCATGTGCAAAATAACTTATGGTAACAACTTAGATGCTCAAAATCAAACTCAATATGACAAAACTCTATATATTTATATATATGCATGCATGCGAAATTATAATCAAATTCTCCATCTTCTTAACAAATTTATGTAAAATACATGCAAATGATCATAATAACTCCATGAATTCATCACTACAATACATAATCTCCATGAATTATTAGTCAAAGGCTTACCTAGAGTCTTGAATAAGCCAAATTCTTGTAAATCTTAGAGCTTCTCTTCTTAATCTTCAAGAATCAAACTTTAATCTATCAAGTTCTTTAGCTTTCTCTCACTAAAGTGAACTCACTCTCTCTCTAAAAAGTCTCACCAGATTTTTCCACTCAAAGAATGAAGGGTCTTGAGCTCAAAATGAGCTTATAACTCACATATATATAGTTGTGATGATATGATACATTAATGAGAACATTAGGTTAGCCAAGCATAACTTAATTTACCAAATTGAATCCATTTTTAATAAAATTTGTCATATCATTCTAAAAATTTCGAATAACATATTAGTGTAACCAATTTCAGTTTCGGATATCGATAAGGCTTCCAATCCTCATATCAAAGCAGATTTCACAACAGATATTACTACGAGTAACAGATAGAAAGCCAAATAACATATAAAATACATGATAAACACATAATTTATTTTAATCCCCTCATTAGCATCGATTAGTAGCTAATTGCGGATCGGGGTTGTTACATTCACGCTCGAGCGACCACTCTGAGTGGGTACACTTTCACTCGAGCGACTTGAATCATGCTCGAGCGTGAAATGCAAGCCCTTAGAAGTTCTTATGTTTTGCAGCAAACTCGAGCGACAAAAGTCACGCTCGAGCGAGGGTCTGAGTCTCACGCTCGAGCGTGGGTCGAGCGTTCGTCGAGCGTGAAAAGCAAACAACCAATACTTTTGTCAAAGTTTATAGTCCGCTCAAGCGAAGGAAGTCACGCTCGAGCGAACCTTCACATTTTGCATGTCCGCTCGACCGAGGAATGCCACATTCGAGCGTGGACCCCGTTTTCAGCAAGTTTTGAAAAATATTTTCAAGTGCATTTTTGCATCCTCATTTCATACTAGGCATTCCT